AAAGCTAGTTTTGAATGCTTGGTGATTTTCAAGGCCGACCTTTCTGACTTGTAATTTTTTTTTTTTTTTTTAAGTAAGATAGGTGAAAGGTACTCAATAATAACTACAATACAAGTACCACTCTTCTCCTTCGTATTGCACCAAACCCAATCTTAGTTTGGTAAATAATCAAATGAAGGATAAAAATGTTATGTACTGAAACAAATTCTATCTGGTTATGAAAAAAAATTATTGGTGGTCAGGGTTAAAAAAAAAAAAAAGACACAAAGTAAAGAATTGCTTTGAGCAAAATAGTCAAACTATATTGGCTCACTTCATAAAAAGAGAAACAAGGTTTTTTTTTAATCAAAATTTACAACGTTCTAAAAAAGAAGGAAAAATTTTAAAAAAATAAGTAAAAAATACTTTGATCTTTCCTCTCAATAATAACATAAGCATTTACGCTAAAATTTTGTTTTCATTAACTTTGGCGTCTTTTTCATCATGCTAGCTCTGTTTTTAGCGATCTCATGAAGATGCCTAGTCAAACTGCTATCGGAAAAGACGGTTTCTTTAAAAATCTCAAAATATATAAAATAAATAAGAACAACATGAATCATTGGGTAATATAAGTAAACTGAAATGTAAAACTAAAAAGTCTTCTATTTTTTTTTTTTTTTACAGGATCGTCTTCACCCCAACTCGAAAAGTTTCCTTACAATTTTAGAACCATTACTTATTCTCTTCCTACAGTCGGCCAATTTAACTTTTCTTTTCATTAAATTGCTTTCATTCATCAGATTGAATTACCGTTAAAAATCGTACTGTCCACTGAATCTGTTTTTCTTGAAGAAGACTAAAGAAAAATAAAACTTTAAAAATAAAATATTTCTTTTTTTCCATACATTTAAAAAAAATGGTTTAAGTGTTCAGTTAACTAACAACTGTTATTTGAACTTTTAAACTTCATTAACTACATTTCTTCTCGACAGAAAAAAGGGAAACTTCAAAAAATTTGTATCAACTAAAAATACTTTTAATTATATTTCTTCTCTCATTTTCCCACTAAAATGAAAAAAAGTCGCAGAAGATGCTTGAACAATGATTGAATACACTACACAGGCGTAATGGCACCATATTTTAAAAATAAAAAAAAACATCACTAAAAAGTACCACTGGGTTATTGTTGGGATCCAAGCGATTTTTTATTAATTGTTTTTTATGATCATATAATGGTTTTTAACTTTTATAACAGCTATTTTCTACTGGAATAAATAATGCTTAAAAAATGTCAAAGCGTTCGGTTATCTTCGTGTATGTGCGTGTGAACTTTTACACAACAAAAGGCTTTCACTTTTTTAGGCTAGTCATTTTTTTATTCTATTGCCATTATATTGGTATTTCTTCATTCATTTCTCTCACAAATAAAGTGAAGTTATTTTTATGATCTTATTTTGTTTTTTTAGAAATCATTAAGTCTATACGACATTCACTTTTTAATTTTATTTAAACTTTAAAAAGCACTATTTCTTTTTTGATAAATAACTCGTTGCAATGCAGACATGTCACAAAACTTTTTGATTTGTAAAAAAATGAAGAAAAATAAGTGATTTTAAACAACACTGTCCAATGTTAAATTTTTAAAAGTGCATCTTACGGTTTCTTTTATCAAAGTTTTCCTACTGTCCTTGGTTTCTTTGCTAACAACGTAATAATGAATGTCCGAACAAAGCAAATTAATAAAACTAACAAAATGTACTTATTAGCTTTTTTAGCCTTTTTAAGTCATAATCTTTAAGAAACTTTGAAGTAAGCAGCAAGGAAACCAAAGAAAAGATTAATCAATCTCAATTCTCAACTTGTTCATTTTTACAATTTTTATTTACTACATTCATTCACCATTATCACAAGCATTTTTTTAAATTAATTTTACATTCTGAATAGTTTGTGTCACCTTATTCTGAATCTTTTCACAAAAAGTTTACAATATGAAACAAGTTTTAAAAAATGTCAAATTATTTGACATTTTAATTTAAAAATTTTGTTTTAAATGAGAAATCTTTAAAAATCGCATAATAAAGTTTGGAATTTTAAGTTAATGTTTTTAGCTTAATAATACTGATTTAATTTAGCGTAGCCTTCAATATGACACAAGGCCGCAAGTATGGAGCACCCAGTGAAGCACTAACTCATTACTTAGTCGTAACTGTTCTCTAGCGATACTCCATATTGAAGTGCCCTTCTCAATGAAGGCTTAATAAATGTTGTGTGTGTGTGTGCGCATTGACGTGTCAAAAATCCTAGGTTAAAGGTCATGGTAAGTGATGCCATGAAACTGCTCAGATTTGTATCAGTTGTAATAATGTGACATCGGGTGAATAAGTGTCAACAGACGCTATGCGAGGTGAATTATTGTAGTTAAAAAGAAAAGATGATAGTGGGCGCCAAGGTAATGGAACATTCCATTTCTGAAATTGTGGAGATATATTACATATCTCGATCAACGGTGTCACTTGTGTAGCGAAATGCCTGACAGGGTGCATTAACGTTAATCGTGAGCAACAGAGTGGCCGATCACGGGTCCTTAATGATTGTGATCAGAAGCGACTGGATAGAATTGTATGTAGTTACAGATGAGCAACACTGGCTCAAGTCAACTTCTCATTCAATCCAGAAAGTACCATACAAATATATCCAGCAGGTCAGTTCAGCCTTCTTTAGCTACCATGGGATATGGAAACAGAAGATCCACCAAATTGCTCCTGTTTTAGCACCAAAACACTGGACACAGCGTCTCATCTGAACTCACGATGTCACTAATTGGACCTTGGAGTTGATTTAGAGAAATGGTAGGAATCTGACAAATGAGACCATGGATCCCCATCAAGGCACTATACAAGCTAGTGATAGATCTGTAATAATGGTATGGGGGTGTTTATGTGGCATAGGTGGTATCCACTGATCTGCCTAAACATGCTATTCTATTAATTAACCAGTGCGTTACAATGCATCATGACGAAGTGAACGTCTTCATGGACTCCATGTATCGTAACAACAAGAAGTTATTCCCGCAGGATTAAGCAAGGCAAGGACCTTGCTGCAAGGTGCTATATTGGGTCCAAGCTCCCTAGATCAGATTTAAGGAGCATTCTGGAGATTTATAACGAATGGGGTGGCCACTAAGTTTGTCCGACATGAGCCAATTAACATTTAAGCAACATGGTCTTCGCATGCAAGATCTTGCACATACAAATATCAGCAAGTTATGAACAGCCATTGTAACAGCATGGTTCAATACCTTTGGAGGTCTTCTGACCATTTGTGGAATCGATGCCCCCTAGTGTTGTTGCACTATGCTGGGTTAGAGCGACCCTACATTATAGTAGGTACCAATTCCATGTCGTAACTTTTGGCACGTCAGTATTTGACCCCAAGCAAAGCAATAAAGTTACTAAGACTCAATAATGAGTTACTTAGTGTGAGAGAATACAAGAAAAAGGAAACATTTAATGAGAGAGAATAATGAAAGAACTGGAATTTAGAAGATAGGAGATGACGATTGACATTGAATTTAATTAAATTGAAACCAAAGTTGACTGGAAAGCATGGAACCGGCCGAGAGTTCCACAAACGAGAAGTGTGAGAGAAGAAACTGTTAACATAGAACTTACGGTTAGATCTCTAATCATTTCAATTGTAAAATGATGATACCTAGCTGCCAATATAGTACTAAACTTAAATTCGTAAACTCTGGGTATCCTTGAGGAAAGCTAATTAGAATAATTACCCTGAAAATATTTATAGAAAACTAAATGGCACAGGGACGGCGGTGAGAAAGTGACTGAAACCGGGATGCCATGTCAGGAGAGATAACATTGCAGATTTTTGTCTGGCATTTATCAAGAAAACTAAGTCTACACACATTACTCGTAGTTAGTTAACCTACTACTAAAAAGCTCTTTTCAAAATATGCAATAATAACTCGTAAAAAATAAATATTATTTGATATTTCGGTCACCAAGTCAAGTTTCACCTTGTTGACTAAAAAAACCCAGATATTTTAGGTTTTTTATTGTTTCAAATTTTCTAGGTAAGACTGCTCGATTTTTGAGGAAATAGACCGTAGCAATCAACACTGCAATGTGACGAGTAGTTACACACCTTAAGCGGTCATCTGATCTTTTACGGCGTGGAACTTGCCAATGACAATGTAACAATGTAGTGTTGATTTCTATATTCATACTGTTTATATAAATAATCTCAAATTCAATCATAAAACTTTCAGAGATTAAAAGGTTAAAAAACATTTGTAAACAATACTTTTTGTATCTTCTTCGTAGACATATTTAAAAAAAATCCATGTCGTTTTCAGCTACAATAATTGTAAATAAACTGATAGTGTATTGTTTTTTAGTCAAATAAAAAGACTAAAGAATAAAGGTTACTGCCTACTGGTCATACTTTTTCGTTGTTTTTAATTTTAGGATTACAATATTAGTTAATTTGATTGTAAAAAATATTAAAACATAAAAAATAATAATTATGTACTTTCGTCAAATTTTCAGGGAATAAACAAAAAAAAAAGATGGTCTTACTTTTTAGTTTTTAATATATTTTCAATTCATCGATCTCTTTTTTTGGGTCGGTTGTCGATTCAAACATATTTAAATCCGTGGTTTGTAGATAGGTAACTTTCAAGTAGACATCTAGTAATAAACAAAAGGGTAGAGACACAAATCATGTCAGAAACGAATATTAATAATATGACCTCTTCTTCCTTGAAACTTCCACAATAAACAGATACAAGCATTAGGTGGAAGGAGGGGGAATCGTGTTCGTTTATATAAACCATCAGTAACTCTCATTCTGTTATTCACCCGGGAATTCAGTTCTATTCCTCTTTCACTGATTTTTCCATTCTTTCCATCCTATCAATTTTTGACTTCTCTGAATCTTTCACTTTTCCTCACACAACATCAACAAAGAATCAGCAATCCAGCGAATTTATATCATAACGAATAATGGCGGGTCTGTGGAGAACATACTTGAGGCTATTAGAAAAACATCCATGGAAAACTCAAGTGATTTCCACAGGTGCGATATCTTAAATTAAATCTAAATCATCACCATTAAATTTTAAAAGAAAAAAAATCACACATAAAAGAATGTTACTATAGTATGCAGTGTTTGCTTGTGAAAAGGCATTTTTTAAATATTCTTTTAATTAATAAATAAGTAACTCAGGATGAGAGAGGGTTAAAAAAAAAAAGTCAGTCTTACTTAGTAAATTAAACACTTGCATGTTTTCACGTTGTTCTGTAATATTTGTTATTTTGTTGTGTGCAATGTGACATTTTTTTCTGCCTTTTAATACTTTTTTTTAACCAACTTTATTGTCGGAATAAGTTTTTTTTTTTTTTACCAAGAAAGCATAGTATAAAAAAGTATTTTGTAATTTTAAATTGAATTGTTGTTCCGGTTACTATTTTTCAGCTGAAAATTTCACTATGGATTTTTAAATTTATTTGATCGTAAACTTTTTTTTTTAAATCCCTATTTATTTGGTATTTTTCTTGCCTTTTAAAATTCTTTCATTTGTGGACGTAACTTTTCAATTCTTCGAGCAGTTAACGCAGAAAATCGTTTTTGCGACATTCAACTGAGACACGAGATGACCTTCTTAAACTGAAATTTGCTTATCTTCAATGCCATCAGGAAAATCAGTCCTCCTGAAGTGCCTGCTTTATTGATTAACATTTTTAACAGTTATCTTTTTTTTCTTTAACGTTTTATTGTCTGCGTGACAAATGTATGACTGTAATTCTGCGGCACTTTCTTCTTAACCTTACTTAAAAAAAAAAATAAAATAAAAATAACAGCAATTAAAAGTAGTAAGTTTTTAAAGCTAGAAAGAACTACTTCTTTGAACCTTTTTTATCTTTGTTAAAAAAATAAAATAAAACATTCTAATTAAAAACATAAGTATTAAGTTTTAAAAATTTAGAAAAAAAGTATAAGTTTGTTTTAATTTTTTTTATAAAACAAAAAAATTTTAATAATGGACTTTAAAAGAAAAACTTTTTTATTTTTTATTTTTTTTTTGTGATTTCAATTTCATTTTAATTTTGTAACTCTAATAATTAATTGTTAATGGTAAAAAAAAATCTTATTTGTGAGGGAAAATATTTGATTTTTTATGTAAAAATGCAGCAATTTTAAAGGCAACAAAACAAAGGAACGAAAATAAATTAAATTCTGTGTTATTATACAATTATTTTTGGATTTAATCAGTTATTGTGACCTAGCAAGAATAAGTCTTATAAAAATTGTTAAAAAGTTCTTTTTCTCCTCAGCAAATTACAACTAACTCGCCACTGCGCAATTTAATTTAAAAAATGAAAAATAACGAAATTCACTGACCAAACCTACGGAAAATAGAGAAAAATTGATTTAATTTAATCATAAAACTTTAATGAGTTTTCCATTTTATAGTTAAATAATTAAAAATAAAAGACGGTAGGAATTTTTTATAAACTTAATTCTGGCATTAAATATATAGGGTTGAAAGTATGCTTGGTCACGTGGCACTTTTTGTAGCTCAGGAAAAGAGAAAAAAAGCTTATTTTCCCAAATTATTTTCTACTTTTATTAATTTTTTTCATTCTTTCTATTCGGTTTCGAAAAATACAGTGTAAGGTAGATTCATAAATTTAATAGTATATAAAATAAAACGACATCCATTTAATAATTAAGTAGGTGAACTCCGATCTATGTATGAAACATTTAAAAAAAATTTTTTTCTTTCTCCAGGAAATCATTTTGTTTCCTCTCTCCTTAGACCTTCAACATTTTTTATCTTACTTTGCTTACAGCTGTTTGTCTGGCTTTTAAATCATTTGATAACTTTTTTACCCGTTGTTGTATTTTTTTTTTTTTTTTTTGTCTGCCTGCTAATGGTGTTTTTTCTTATCTACATCAACCATGCGCATTAAATGGAATACATTTCACATGCCTCCTCAAAAAAAAAGTCAATTACCATTTATTTTTTTTTTTTATTTATTTATTTTTTTTTTTTTTTTAATAAAAATATGGACCAGAGACAAATTTAAAAAGTGAATTTTACTGAGTGAGTCAGTGCATTTCAGAATGGGTCCAACGACAAATGTATTGTTAATTTATTTTATTTTAAAATTTCTTAACTTACCCATTCTGTTGACTATATTTTTAATTTTTATAATCTATATTTCAAATGTACCTCCAAAGAAAAGCGATTTATGAACTTTTAAAAAGGAAAAATCTTTCTTGAAGCTTTAATTTAATAATTCTAATTTTTTTAACATTAAGAAAAATACTTTCCTGTATTTCAAAACGAATTTATTTTAAATTGAGTGGAATGAGATATTTTTTTATCGGTGTTGCTGATATTTTAGCCATTTACAAAAAATCTCTCAGCACAACGTAATTCTCTTTATAAAATCTTTCAAAAATAAAATACTTTTCTGAAACTTTGAGGAAGATTAACTGACTTTTTTTTAGTTTAAGTACTGATTTGAAATAAATATTACTTTTTTAGTTTCTTTAAAATATCACAGAAAAGCATTTTTTAAAACAGGTGGGTATATTTATGAGTTGTTGACAACTATCTCGATAGACTTGTTTAGACATTTTTTTTTTCTACGGGGGACATATCTGTAAAATTATTTGACGAATATAACGTGAGCACTGTTTTCATATAATGTTTTTACTTTTACCTACCCAGTAATAATCTTTAAAATTTAGGAAAATATTCTAAGTAATGTAATGTTTTACTGAATTTCAAGTACTTTGGCTTTGTCGTGTATGGATGTCTGTATTTACAAAAATTGGCACGTTTACGCACACAAAAAATTCAAAATTATTTTTAAAATACTTGTCTTTTACTTTTCCATTTATGATTAGTAAATATAATTTATTATTTAATAGCAATATCACATAACCACTACAAATTAAATGATTTAAAATTTTATACATGACTCTAATTAAAATTTGTAAAATGAAAACAATTCTTGTAAAAATTTGTTATTCATCATATCCATAATATATCGTATTCATAAAAGCAATGAAAAGCTTTTCTAATTAAATATCTTATTTTTGCATTTTTTTATTTTACAATTCAGAGTGGATTTTTTGTAACTGGGAGTGCTTATAAAATCATGTTATTTAAAATATATAACACCTAAATTAATCCAAAACTAAAATAAGTTACATACTAATTTGCATTAAATAAAAATTAAAAATTTCAAGAACATCATTTACTCACTTTCATTTATTAGACATTGAATTGTTTCACTTGGTGTCCTCCATAACTTGCCTAGACTTTTTGGCTAGCCTGATGAATATTTATGAGTGTTCTCAAATTTAAAAATTTTGAAAAACCAAAAACATTTTTGCTCTTGTATATAAATATTTGTTACAAAATAAAATACTTGCATTTACCTTGATAAGGTCCTTCAGAGGCCAAAACACATTGGCTAATATGTTTTCCTTTTGTCATTTGTAGTGTCATTTTACAGATATATTTTATCTGAAATATTACGCACATACATACATATAAATTATATATATATATATATATATATATATAGAATTGATACAAGTAAAAGGTTTGATATTAGCAGATTGATATTACATTCCAGAGTTTTGTAAACAAACCCTCTGGAATTACTCCATCCACTCATCACGGTATCAGCAATTGACTATATATATATATATATATATATATATATATATATATATATATATATATTATATATATATATATATATATATATATATATATATATATAATATATATATATATATATATATATATATATATAATATATATATATATATATATATATATATATATATATATATATATATATATATATATATATATATATATATATTATATATATATATATATATATATATATTATATATATATATATATTATATATATATATATATATATTATATATATATATATATATATATATATATATATATTATATATATATAATATATATATATATATATATTATATATGATATATATATATATATATATATATATATATATATATATATATATATATATATATATATATATATATATATATATATATATATATATATATATATATATATATATATATAATATATATATATATATAATATATATATATAATTTACAGTCATCGATATAGAAAAGTTAGTTCTCATCTGATCACTGAAGTTAAGCAATGTCGAGCCTGGTCAGTACCGAGATGGCTCACCATTTGAGAGTACCATATGCTGTAATCTTGGATACATGCGTTGTATGATTGATAACAGCTTAGAATGAGAAATCAGAGAACCAAGTTTGAATTCCAGTTGGGTTCATTGCATTCACTAACGTGCAATACCCTTGGGAAAAGTATGAGTACATCTCTTTTCCACCCAGCTGTGGGTAAATAACAGGACTTACAGGGCCTTGGTTGGCAATCAGTATAGGAGAAAGAAAACCTTGAATTCAAACCAGTCTGGAGAGAGTTAGCAAAGGGTGGTTGAACTTCTTATAGGAGCCAACAGTCAACCTGCAGCTTGGAGATAGAAAACTCCTATCCAAATAACCCTGTGATTGTAACATCTGACATATAGCACACATTACACCAGTACAAGACATAATGCTAGGATGGAGGGCACAGACAGAGGGCTCTAGCTGCACAATGCTTTGGCAGTAAAAATCAGGTCTCAGTCTCTTGGATGCAAAAAAGTCTGTGAGTGCCTGCTGCACTTCATTTGCAAAGGATTTTCCATAAAGGTCCAAGGAATGAAATTTGTGGCAACATGGATGGTACAGTGTCTCCCAGTCAAGTAGTCATATGGTATCCCTGTCCACCCATGCTAAAGGTCTGGCATTCTCATGGAGAAACCATACACTCTTGTGATAAACCAATGCTGGTGCCTTCTGCTTCAGTACCGGTTATACATGTTCCAACTGCTGCAAGTTCAGGTACACATTGATAGTTTGGTGTGTTGGTAGCAGCTAATAATGCACCACTTGTCAACAAGTCCAACAGATACAGAATA